TTTCCATGCTTATCCCTACTAACTGACCATTCTCTTTAAATAGAGCTTAGCTATTTATTGCTTATTAATTATTGTCTTTGTCCCTCCCCACTATTCCTTACCTACCCTTAACCTTTCCTCCACTCCAAACACACACACACATTCACATTAAACTGGAAGCTCCGTATCTTATTCACTGCAATGATCCTGCAGAGAACAGTGCCTGATACATAGTAAAGGCTCAGTATATATGTACTGAATGACTAAAATGAATGAACAGTATATCTTTATGTCAGATCAAATGTCTCTTCACTTCCATACCATCAATTTTGTTTGTACATCTCTTATCACACTTCATCCTATAATACAGTTCCTGGTCCAGGTGTGTTGGGCAGCTGCCATTTTCTATATTCATGGCAAAACCCTTAAGATCACATTCATCATCAAATCTTCCAAAGACCTAGCATATTCCATTGTATATAGGAGGTACCCAGTAGGCTAACTACATTAATTAAAAACTCCCAGGGGAAAAAACTCAAAAAGAGCTTCTAGATCTTCTGGATGCTAAAACGAGTTATTCCTAGATTGCAACTAAGAAAATTTTCAAGTCTACTCTTTATCAGTTCAAGTTGTCCCTAGATTGCTAAGAGAGTTTCAAGTCTACTTATCATTTCATTATTACAAGGTAACTTTTAATGATATCAATCTACAATAATCTAGCTTGTTTATTCACACTGCAAGGCACTGACCACTGGGGATACAAAGGTGATTAAGATACTGCCCCTCCATGAGGAAGCTCACAGTCTAATGGGAGAGGGTGACACTGACATAATAAATGGAATGCTGTATAAAAGGTCCAATAGTTTAAACACATATGATGAAGTGAAGGAATAGAGGAAGAGGTCAACTTTCCTGGGGAGATCAAAAAGGTCTCTTGAAAGGACTGAGTTGGGCTTTTTTTTTTCTCCATTTTTCTGTATTTCATCTAATTTAATTTTTTGAGTAGTTAATGTTTTCACATGGTTCAAAATTTGAAAAGAATAAAAAGATAATACAAACACAACAACAAATGCTGGTGAGGATGTAGAGCAATAGGAACTCTCATTCATTGCTAGTAGGAATGCAAAATGGTCAGCCACTCCAAAAGATAGTTTGGTAGTTTCTTACAAAACATAACATACTTTTACCAAATCATCCAACAATCATACTCCAGGGTATTTACCCAAAGGAATTGAAAATTTACATCCACACAAAAACCTACACATGGATGTTTATAGAAGCTTTATTCATAATTGCCAAAACTTGGAAGCAACCAAGACATCCTTCAGTAAGTGAATGGATAAATAAACTGTGGTACATCCAACAATGGAATATTATTCCATGCTAAAAAGAAATGATCTATCAAGTCATAAAAAAACATTAAAAAACCTTAAATTCTTATTACTGAGTGAAGGAAGCATATCTGAAAAGGATGCATACTGTATGATTCCAACCATATGACCAGTCTGGAAAAGACAAACCCATGGAGACAGTAAAAAGATCAGTGGTTACCTGAGGTTAGGGGAAAAAAAGGGATAAATAGGCAGAGCACGGAGGATTTTAGGGCAATGAAACTGTTCCATATGATACTATACCAATGGACACATGTCATTATGAGTTTGTCAAAACCCATAAAATGTACAACACCAAGAGTGTACCCTAATGTCAAATATGGATTTTGGGCAATGATGATGTGTCAGTGTAGATTCATCAGTTGTAATGAATGTACCACTCAGATTGGGATTTTGATGGGGGAAGCTGTAATGTGTGGGGCAGGAGGTATAAGGGTATAGGAGAACGCTATGTACTTTCCAATTAATTTTGCTGTAAATTTTTTTTTTTATTATTTGAGAGAGAGACAGACAGACAGTGACAGAGATAGCAAGAGAGAGCACAAGCCGGGAGGAGAGGGAGAAGCAGGCTCCCCACTGAGCAGGGAGCCCAACACGGGGCTCAATCCCAGGACCCTGGGATCATGACCTGAGCAGAAGGCAGATGCTCAACCAACTGAGCCACCCAAGCACCCCAATTTTGCTGTAAATCTAAAAGTTCTCTAAAAAATAAAGTCTATTTTTAAAAAAGACAAAGAAAATAGAGTGAAAAGTATTGTTCTCGTCCTTGACACCTGGCTGCTCAAGTCTCCTCTCTACAGGCACCAAAGACTCCAGTTTCCTGAGTATATTTCCAGGGATTTTGAGGTCTATGCAAACTATCTGTACCGTATATCATATCTACAGATATGATTTCCCTCCTTCTCCCTCAAATGGTAGTATATGACACATTCTGTTTCGCACCTTTTTTCACCTAATGATTTACCTTGGAGATTTTTCCATACTGGTGCATGGTTTATGTCTCTTACCAAAACATTTTGGCTAATATCTTGGCAACGACATTAAACAACAATTGTGGTGATAATGAATATTCTTATTTTGTTCCAAAGGAAGCTAAATCTTAAGGGATAAATATGAATTAGAACTCTTCTGATTTTTTCTTTTATTATTTTTTGTTTTTTGTTTTTAATTTTATTATGTTATGTTAATCACCATACATTACATCATTAGTTTTTGATAGAACTCTTTTGATTTTAAGTAACAGAAACCAACTAAAGCATGTTTAAGCAAAATCGGGGGCATGTGTTATATAGAGAGATGGTGTCTCACAATTCAAGGGCAACAGAAACCATGGGAGTGACCTCTATGTCCTGTGCTCCTCTTTGTCTGTTTCAGGGGCACCTGGGTGGCTCAGTCATTAAGCATCTGCTTTTGGCTCAGGTCATGATCCCAGGGTCCTGGGATCGAGCCCCACATTGGGCTCCCTGCTCAGCAGGAAGCCTGCTTCTCCCTCTCCCACTCCCCCTGCTTGTGTTTCCTCTCTCGCTGTGTCTCTCTCTGTCAAATAAATAAATAAAAAATCTTAAAAAAAAATGCATATGTCTGTTTCATTCTTTCTTCTTAGCTTTCTCTGCCACTCAGTCACATTGGAGGAAGAAGATGATTCACTCACAGTCGCTAATTTGCATGTTACAGATCAAACCGCAAAGTCATATTTTCCTTCAGTCCAAAAAGAAAGGATTCTGACAGTTCCATTCTGGTCCAAATAACTGTGATGATGAGAAAAGGGTCACATTACAAACCTCACTGCTGGGGACACAGGTAAGGAACAAGTCCTTAATGACATAATTTTGAGCAGGGCATTTACTCTAAAGGCAAGTCTACTACAGCATACAAAAATACACATGTAAAAATAAACATGTATTTCAGGAAGCTACAAAGCAGTTGGTTGTGATTTCTTAAAGCATATGAGCTTCTTTAAGATCCTCTGGTGTAGGTTGGTTTCTCTGGAAGCAGAGCCTGAGATAGGGATTGAGATGAGTATCAACTACTGAGGGAGTGCACAAGAAAAACTAGTCAGGGAAAGAGTTCAGCAGAGCTGGGAAGAAGAAAAAGTGAGAAAGAATGTAGTCTCAGGTAAAGTCCAGCTGCGGCCTGATCTATAAGAATCCTCTGCAGAATTTTCTCTCCTTCAGATGAGAAGGCAGGCCTTTTGTAGCCCCTTGGCCATCAGTTACTGATGGGGGTGCCCAGCTTTTTTGTCAAGGCAGCTCCCATCAGCCAAGGGCAATTCCTTGGAGAAGGAGCCGTAGCTATGAGCTTTCACCAGTCAACAATCACAGCAGCTTTTGGGGAGACACTAAAACGGCAGCAACCACACCCTATGGTAATAAACTTTCTATCAAAACAGTGACAACATGAGGAGATATCCTGATGTTGCAACACTTGAAAAATATGCAAAAAGAGTTAGCTCTGTTGTGAAATCCTCTGCCCTTTTTATGTTTTCCATTTTTTCACATTTCTTGTGGTTGGAACACAAGTTGGAAATCGGAACAGAATCAACCAAGAGGTTAACACTTACTGAGCACCTATCATGTGACTTACATTGTACTAAGTGCTGCTAAGAATAAAAAGAAATGCAGAATGAGGATTCTGTCATAGATCAGGAGGAATTTGAGGAAGAAAAGATTTACATACACAAGGGAATAATCAGACATGACAGCACTAAACCAAGCGTATCATACCAGGAGGGTCTTAGAATTAAGTTCGAGTACAATGCTTACTCCGTAAACTTGAGTAATGGTGCTTAATATCTTTGCTCATTTATTGAGTGGAGTTTGAAATATTTTCCACCACTGCTAAGGGAAGTTGAAGAAGATAACAATGGTAAATTTTTGTAAATAACATAAAGGCAAGGACTAAAAGACATACTATATGTTGTTATTGGGCAGATTCTATTACACAGAGATGGCAAGGGAAAACCACAGTCATTTGCCTATGCATTCATCTCCCTGGTGCAAGTGGGCATTGTTCTATACCCCATGGCAGGATTAGAAATACCACCAGGGAACAAGTACACAAAGTTGTTATGGAAACCAGAATGCTTCAGCTCAGAGTTATTTACAGAGAACTTTCAGGATTATCACATTCAATAAAATCAAATCTGTTTTGCTTCACTGTGTGCCAGTACATCCCAATCACCTATCTATTTTGAAGGGTCCTTCGATCAGCTGCACTTGAGTGAATACAGATTCAAGAGTCCCTGGGTGGTGGTCACATCACAAAAGTATAATTTATGTGTGGCCTTTCTGCAATTCATGTTTGGTGCTTGTTCACACTTGCCCCAACCATTGTCAAGTTTGCTGGCTTCTGTACTATAGGAACAAGGTGGCTGTTGACTGCCATTGGCAGGGAAACATTTCCTCCAATACAGCTGCTGTCTGTGTTGCCCAGTACTCATACAGCAGGACTTGTCTCTTCACTTTCTCTCAGCTCGACTTTCAAGCTAGATAGTAACAGCTGCCTCTGACCATCATTTTTGTTCATAATTGTGAGTTGGAATTTTTCTAGCTATCCAATTCTTTGAAAAAAGTTGTAGGGTTGAGGTTTTTTGTTTGTTTGCTTGCTTGCTTTGTTTTATTTGTTGAGAGAATGAGAATTTTCATAGCCTTTGAGGGATCTTTTGAACCATTTGATGTTTCAGCAGATGAAACTGTGGAGGCTGTCAAGCTGATGATAAAGGTATGTACTTTGTCCCTAAGCCACTAAGATGTACACTAATTTTAACTACACAGTGGCTTTAAACTGTACATGAGGTAGAGATACTATTAGGCACATTTTCAGCAAACAGGAAACTAAAACTATTTGAAAATATCATTATTTGCTTACACAACAGTTTGATAAGAAGATAGTAACTATGGAGGTGTTAGACAGGAAGCAAACTGAGTCAGTGAATTCTCCGGAAAAAGAAAAAAAGTTTGACCTCTCTTTATGAAATGTGTGGGTTGCGCACTGGCCAGAGTATTACTGCAATTCTTCATAAAAGGACAAAAACAGGACATTAACTCTTAACTATATAAGAGCATGCCAGTTGTCAGATGGCACGTTTGGTGAGCAAGCAACTATAAAGATACAAAGGATTTTGGAGATGGAGAGAACTTTAAACAACTTCTGAGCTACAGCGACATTTTGTATCCAGTGAAACTGAAGCTCAGAGAGGTTGACCATCTTACCTACGATTACAGAACCAGAATAAGAAATAATTTGGATTCAGTAGCTTTCTTATAAATTTTTAGAAATATTCCCTCTATGGGGCGCCTGGGTGGCTCAGTCATTAAGCATCTGCCTTCAGCTCGAGTCATGGTCCCAGGGTCCTGGGATCGAGCCCCGCATCGGGCTCCCTGCTCTGCCGGGAGCCTGCTTCTCCCTCTCCCACTCCCCCTGCTTGTGTTCCCTCTCTCGCTGTGTCTCTCTGTCAAATAAATAAAATCTTTGAAAAAAAAAAAAGAAAGAAAGAGATATTCCCTCTACAATTGGGAAACTAAGACAAATATCAGGTCTCAACCATCAGATGGTATTTAACTCGGAGATGATCATTCCCATTTGCTAAGGCTCATTTATTGAATCACAGTTACATGATATTTGATAGATCACTGTGATTACTGAAATCTAGATCTTCTAACACAGAGGCTCTTAACCTTTCTATGTCACGAATCCCTTTGGCAGTCTGGCGAAGCCTATGGACTCCTCAGAATGTCTTCAAATGCATACAATAAAATACATACAAAGAAAAGGAAACCAGCATATTGAAATACAATTTTCAAACATTAAAAAACAAATTTGTGATATAGTAACACGTGGGCTTCTTTATTAACACATTATCAAATTTTAGCAATGTATCTAATAACTGTTGTAATTTCAAAGTGGTGATCAGTATAATATTTTGAGATTTCTGCAACAACTATAATGTGATATGAAAATATCTGTGATTTCTATTGGTGACAAAGTCATAGGTATAGCCAACTACTGCTTCTTTAGTTTGTTGCCTACATACATAATTGAAAGAAAATCTCAGTTTCATTTAGAGTTAATAAAATATAGTTTTTTCCCATCTAAACTCTATCCATAAACTTTTGGAGAGGTGTATAGGCTCCAAGTTAAGAACCCTTGTCCCGTACTTCTTCATCTGTCCAAAACAATTTTATAATTCTCAGTGGGAAAAAAAAAATGTAAAAGAAAAGAGATTATATTACTGGTCTAGTAATGTCAAGATACACTGTTTTTATAATATGCTATTGATTTTTAAGGATTATTTCCACATTCCTCTCTCTGAAGATGAACAAGGCAGGTGGTATCTGGAGCTGATGTATGCTGGAGCAGTCCTAAAGGACAGCTGGAATCTTGCTGATGTTGGAATATCTTTTGGTTCAACTCTCAAATGCTTTGTTAAGGTATGATGATCAGAATAACAATTGTTCCAGATACCTACCTCATTTTGAATAAAGTTGTGGATAATTCAACAAAAGTCATTTCATAACTTAGGAAGAAGTTTTCTCTTCTTGGCTTCTCCTCTCTTCCATTTGTCTAACTGGTCTTACACATGATTTCTGCTGCACGGGGAAATAAGGTGGAGAGACTGGATGGAGTTCCCCTTGTTTACTCCTTATGTCCTTTCCCTCCTCTATCCCCCTCGTTGCTGCACCAGTCATCCCAGAACATCGCACAAACCAATATTGGAATGAGGGCAAGGGGTAGATCTGAAATATTGATGTAGAAGGAAAATTTGATCATTTCCTTGGATTCACAATGGATTAAGGGCAGGGGAGTGAGGAGAGGGAAGAAATTCTCAGTAACAATAAGAATGAAAAGGCAATTTCTGGGGCGCCTGGGTGGCTCAGTTGGTTAAGTGACTGCCTTTGGCTCAGGTCATGATCTCAGGGTCCTGGGATCGAGTCCCGCATCGGGCTCCCTGCTCCGCAGGAAGGCTGCTTCTCCCTCTCCCGCTCCCCCTGCTTGTGTTCCCTCTCTTGCTGTCTCTCTCTCTGTCAAATAAATAAATAAAATCTTAAAAAAAAAAAAAAGAAAAGGCAATTTCTACATCCAAATCCAGCCAAAGTAGCCATTTATGAATTAGGTGTACATATCTACACCTGGAGATAGCCTTTTCCATTTATAGTGTACTTAATTAGTGGTATTTAAATGGGGGTCCATGGATGGGCTTTAAGAACTTTACAAAACCCGGGGCGCCTGGGTGGCTCAGTCGGTTAAGCGACTGCCTTCGGCTCAGGTCATGATCCTGGAGTCCCGGGATCGAGTCCCGCATCGGGCTCCCTGCTCAGCGGGGAGTCTGCTTCTCCCTCTGACCCTCCTCCCTCTCATGCTCTCTGTCTCTCATTCTCTCTCTCTCAAATAAATAAATAAAATCTTTAAAAAAAAAAAAAAGAACTTTACAAAACCCTAAAATTATAAAATATGCAAAATTATGCGCCTAGAGATTTTCTGGGTGGAGGATCCTTAATTTCTTTTTTTTTTAAAGATTTTATTTATTTATTTATTTAAGAGAGAGAATGAGAGAGAGAGAGCACATGAGAGGGGGGAGGGTCAGAGGGAGAAGCAGACTCCCCGCTGAGCAGGGACTTGATCCTGGGACTCCAGGATCATGACCTGAGCCGAAGGCAGTCGTTTAACCAACTGAGCCACCCAGGCGCCCGGATCCTTAATTTCTGACAATTTTTTTTCTTTTCTTTTTTTTTAAATTTCTGACAATTTCTTAAAGAGACAGGTGGCCTAAAGAGTTTAAGAGCTGGGGCGCCTGGGTGGCTCAGTTGGTTAAGCGACTGCCTTCGGCTCAGGTCATGATCCTGGAGTCCCTGGATCGAGTCCCTGGATCGAGTCCCTGGATCGAGTCCCGCATCGGGCAGTCCCTGCTCAGCAGGGAACCTGCTTCTCCCTCTGACCCTCCCCCCTCTCATGTGCTCTCTCTCTCTCATTCTCTCTGTCTCAAATAAATAAATAAAATCTTAAAAAAAAAAAAAGAGTTTAAGAGCTGATCTCTAGGGAAGAAATGTTATTCAATACTAGTTCTTTATCCTATATGAAAACATGAGCCACAAGGAACCAAGAAACTAAGTTCACATTCTCTGCTAAATGGAGCACTAATTTTCTCATATTTAGCATTAAAAAATTTTTATGATAGCCAAAGCTAACTTTTTTGAGTTTTTTTACCATTTTAATTTATTTCAACCTTTATTAAAACCAAATTTTTTTTTGATGTAGTGTTCCATGATTCATTGTTTGCGTATAACACCCAGTGCTCCATGCAGAATGTGCCCTCTTTAATACCCATCACCAGGCTAACCCATCCCTCCACCCCCCTCCCCTCAAGAACCCTCAGTTTGTTTCTCAGAGTCCATAGTCTCTCATGGTTCGTCTCCCCCTCCGATTCCCCCACTTCATTTTTCCCTTCCTACTATCTTTTTTTTTAGCATATAATGTATTATTTGTTTCAGAGGTACAGGTCTGTGATTGAACAGTCACATAATTCACAGCACTCACCATAGCACATACCCTCTTTCATTGATTGACTAAGTGAGAAGTCTTTGTTTTAAAAAAATCTAAAATACTGGGCGCCTGGGTGGCTCAGTTGGTTAAGCAACTGCCTTCGGCTCAGGTCATGATCCTGGAGTCCCGGGATCGAGGCCCGCATCGGGCTCCCTGCTCGGCAGGGAGCCTGCTTCTCCCTCTGACCCTCCCCCCTCTCATGTGCTCTCTCTCTCTCATTCTCTCTGTCTCAAATAAATAAATAAAATCTTTAAAAAATAATAAAAATAAAAAAATAAAAAATCTAAAATACTTACTACTAACTAGTAAAAACAGGGCACAGAAAAATTAGCATTGTGTGATCCCATTTAAGTAAACAAAAATAACATATTTGTACATGTGTTTGTAATGTTTTATGAGCATTTATTCATGTATTATTGTTATATTCTTGAAGAATGTTTAATTATCAAAAAGGTAAATAAAAACAACTCTGATTTCTTGTTTTCTCCTTCTGACACTAAGAAAATTATAGTATAATACTCTTTTAGGCAGACTAAATTCCATCTCATTTCTCTTTTTTTCATCTCATTTCTTAAATGTCTTTCCTTATATCTTTAAGTATATATACTATGTTTTTGGTGTATAGGATAAACCCTTTAAAATATTCTGGAATTTTCCAGCGCCAATAATGATGTTCGAGACCTTGTTGCTTGCTTACTTGGAGAGAGTGGCATAAGTTTATTATTAATATTTGAGCTGCTGGAGGGATGGGATTGAGCCACAGCTATTCAGGGATGTAGATAATGTGTGTTAAGGGTATAAATAGGTTACTATTATTTAACTCAGCACTGGTTTTATTTTCCTTTATTAAAAAATTCTAACTTTTATTTATTTTTGACTAGGTAGTACATTCACATTGATCCAAAAGATATAAAAAGTATATACAGTAAAAAGTCTTCCTCCCACCTCTGGCCCCCAGTTTCCCTCCCCAGAGGCAACCTATTTCATAAATTTACTTATAAAAATATTTCATAGGGCACCTCGGTGGCTCAGATGGTTAAGTGTCTGCCTTTGGCTCAGATCAGGTCCCGCATTGGGCTCCCTGCTCAGCGGGGAGCCTGCTTCTCCCTCCGCCTCTCTCTCTCTCTCTGTCTCTTATGAATAAATAAATAAAATCTTTAAAAAAATAAAAATACTTCATAAATTCTGCCAATAAAGCATCATCTATCACAGTGGTGCAAGTTGTCTTTGCACTGAACTCTAACCTTCCCCTGGAGTTAAACTCCTAATGGAAAAAAATAGAGTATAGAGGTAAAATGGGTTTACTCAAGAGACGCAGAATATAATTATGCATCCCAGGACTGGCCAACATACAGGGTTTAAATAAAAACTCTGAAGTTCCATGGAAATCTTACTGATCTTAATCTTCACCTTCTCCAGTAGAATCACATTTAGAGAATTTCATATGACTGGATTTGGGAAGAAAAACAGTATCTTGAATCTGAAGGAAGAGAATTACCTGCAAAGACCATAAATATTGGTTTTCATCCTGACTTAATTCCTGTTTAGATTAGATGATAAAAGAGGCCTATTTCAAAAGTCCACACTATTTACTGTGTATGGATAATCATAGCCCAAAGTGGGCTTACAACAACAAAAATACTTCATGAAAATATCCCACACCTCAGAGAATGCAGTCAGACCAGTTCTAAGCAGTCTATTTTAGGTAACAAAAGGTTACATTCTAAGTCATGTTGTTGCTTTATTGCATAATTAGATATATACAAATTTAAGTAGTACCTTTCCTTCTTAACTGTTACTTTGTGCAATTAATTCTACCTTCTGAAAATCTTGAAGAGCTTGTCTCTTCATTTATTTTGGTACAACTTAGACATATCAAGATGTAAACCAATGCTTTTGCAAAGTTTAAAAATTTGCCAAGTAAGCAATTTTCTTTTTTTAAAAAAATACAAGTAGAGGGGTGCCTGGGTGGTTCAGTCGGTTAAGCATCTGCCTTCAGCTCAGGTCGGTCCTGGGATCAAGCCCCGCATCAGGCTCCCTGCTCAGTGTAGAGTCTGCTTCTCTCTCTCCCCCATCCCCCCCACCCCCTGCTCATGCACATGTCCAAGCTCTCCCTCTCTCTCTCAAATAAATAAATAAAATCTTTAAAAATATATAAGTACACATTATGTGATGCGAAATAAATCCAAAATATTTGGTTTTTTTATTGTCCTTATATTTTGTGTGAATTACAAGGTTTTGCTTATGTGAAAAGAGGGAAAGACTTTAGGTAAATTAAGAGGTGATCTCCTCCTAAATACATTTTTTTTTTTTTAATATAACAGGGAGAGACACAGCGAGAGAGGGAACACAAGCAGGGGGAGTGGAGGAGGGAGAAGCAGGCTTCCTGTGGAGCAGGGAGCCCCATGCGGGGCTCGATCCCAGGACCCTGGGATCATGACCTAAGCCGAAGGCAGACGCTTAACCATCTGAGCCACCCAGGCGCCCCCCTAAATACATTTTTTAAATAGTTAATATATTTTCCAGTTTCCCTGTGTATTATACCTTCTCCTTTAATAGTAATGTAGACATATTTGGAAAAGTGAATGGGGGGGTGATATGAGAATAGTGGGGAAAGAACATTGCATTAATTTTTCCTTCTCAGGGGGAAAAAGTCCTATAGACACCATAAGAAATATCTTCTATGGGATATACATCCAAGTTCTATTAACGCAAGAGTCAATCCTGCCCATTCATTGCTGCTGCAGGGCACTGTGTTCTATAAACCATGGCATGATGCAGTGGAAAGTCCTAGGTTATTGCTGGGCATGCAGAAATACTATCCCATTTGCCCCCTTCCCTCTAACCAGTGTTACTGTGGAAACTATTGCTTGAGTTTTGTTCACTGTTG